GCTATTGTCATCTAAGTGGATGGACTTATTAATATTTATTGTGCTATTATCAGAAATATGCAATAATTGTGGATCACTTGCATCGATGCCTTGATTTGGAGTAAAGTGTTAGCTTAATGTAATTTGGCTGAGGTTCAAATAAAGAAAATGCTTGTAGTTCTGTGGGATTGCTTTATTATCTGTGTAGCTAATGTAGGATTAGGCCACAGTAGTTCATTTATTGGTTTGCAGATATTGTCTTAAAAAAATTCAGCATGAGATCAAGATTAAAACAAAAGGGCTAAGAGGAAAACTCACACCTGACTATATTCACTCCCTAATACGGTATGTGGAACAATTTTCCTGATAATTTTCCATTTTCAGGTTTATCATTCAAAATCCGAGAACTGAAAAATGAAGTTGGTTGTTTCTAATGCCGTAATGGTGAATACGTCTGTAAGGTTTATGAAATTGTTCTGTAAATCATAAAACTGTGCTGTGTGTGAGTGTCATATTATATTGGTAATGGTATTATTTTTGTGATAACCCCTCCAATTGCAAATTCATGACGCTGCAAATTTGCCTTCCTTGTAGGTGTACTATGACTAAGTTGCATTATAGACTTCTTTCAACGACAAATCTAAAACACAGGGAAAATATCCCTCACACCATGAAATAAAACCACCCTGAAAGTTTGAGGATTTACAGTACACAGAGGCTCAGATGTGGATTTAGATGTAGTCCATCCAACCTAGCCTCATTACGTAGACCCAGATCACACCCAGTGGACACATTCAGCTCACTGTGGCCTCCGCACCGCAGTTAGCTGCAGTTTATTTGCGTCTTTCGCAGGCTCGTTTGTGGACTGTAAAATAGTCATTGTACTTTACTATCTGCAGGAGAGTTTTAGTGGTAATCACAGTTAAGCCGGTAGCTTACATGTAGCCTGTAGAGATGGAGTAGATGTTGTTATGCCACAGTGATTTGTTTTATCGTTTTTTAAAACATTTTCAACGAAAAAATCAGCCAGAGGTCAATGTAAAAAAATGAGGTCTTGAGATGAAAAATCACAATTTCTGATGTTCACCCCCTAAATTATACTAACTCTACATGCTTCCCAGGGAAAATGAGCAGCAAAATTCCGTCAAATGATGGAAAGACAGATGCTAAAACATTGTTAAAAACCAACAAATTGAATTCACACGGCCTTATACATGTTGTATATACAAATGTATGGTAGGGAATGTATAAGAAGGTAGGATATCACAGGTGAAGTTATAAATGGATGATAAGCTCCGTGACATACAAGGCGTGGCACTGCATATAACACAGGGTTATATATGAATACCTTATTGATTTTTGAGAAGGACAAAACCAAAGAGCAAAGATGTATGTCATATTGAAATGAATAGGTCTGTCTGTGGGTGGATATTTGAAAGGCGACTGATTGATTAAGTGATTTCAGTGTCTGCCCTTTTCAAGTGTCGGAATCAAAAGCCTGATGTGTATCCTCGCTATCAGCACCTATTTATTTCACATTCTAGTCTGGCTTCGCACCAAAATGCACAAGTGAGCCATTTTATAACTCTTGGAAATGACATTGCTCACATTTCAAAAAGCAAATTTTAAGTACTAGTAATAAAAAGAAATACAGATATAATAAAAACAATCTGCATCATCGGGACCCCAATAACTTTTAATTACAGATTTTTATTTTATTTTTGGTGAATGATAAGACTTATCGTACACCAAAAATAAAAATCTGTGAAACCTACCATGAGCTACAGCTATGAACACACAAACATGACTGAGAACCCTTCCACAGAAAGATAACTCCTTCGCTGGAGGTAACAATTTGGACTGTGTCCACATTATTAGTAAATATATAACTTGGATACTATTATTGGATGTTTCATACAAAATATATTGGATGCCCCTGGACGCATTAAAAGGCGTCCGCCGCAAAAAACGGATGTCCAAAGAAGCCGTTACGTCTGTCTTGCGGGAACTCTAATTGACGGATTTGTCAAACTGTCATTCTGCCCCCCATGCATTTTTTGTAGCCCTGGGATAGTCCTACATTGTTTTGTAAATTAGAGGTTGTTTCATGCTGTATTAAAAGGCCTGCATGGTTAATTAATAAGAAGAGGACCACTAGTGATGAGGTAGGAGTGATACAATAGCTGCTAATGACTGCAATTAACTAGTGTCAAGTATTTGACCTAGTTCTTAATTGGTATGAGTTTTGAGATAAAATCTTTGAACCATAATTAACAAAACCTGTGAATGGAAAAACAATTGGGACCCCTTTATTATCATACCCTAAATTATGATGATTATATGTTATGCACTTGTTCCTGTATCCTTTCTAGATGACAGTTTTCATACAAATATCCTCACAACCGGTTTTGGACAGTTAGTTAAATAACGGAAGTAATTATTGGTGGGAAATAAATACTAAGAGCAACCACAATTCATACTGGTAGTTTTACATATATGGATCTCTGTATATATCTTTATTTATGGTGTCTCTACTTATATTTTTGACAAAAAAATGATAATTAAGAGTATATGGTATCTTGAAAAACATCTAGAAAATTTTTGTGGGCACGATAGGTTTGCCTTGAGATTTCACAGCGAAAACATCAAAACACTGAAAATATTTTGAAGATCTACAGTATTTCCTCTCTTGGTTTTCTAGCATGGCTGTCATCACTCTTTTGTAGGTCAGTGGGAACATGGGGATGTAGAGATGAGTGCTAATTAGTCAGCCAGCACAGATGGTGTATGGAGACCTTTTGTGCAGCAGCTGTATGCTAATTTTTAGGCCATACAAAGTTTCATCTTGTTTTTAGAGACATCAAGAAAAATAAAGGAAACAAGCCTTCAACTTTTAGGTTACCTTCCCCCCTTCATTGAAATTCAAGGTCACAAAGTAGATGTGGTTTCTATTTCTTTGGTTTGCCCTTCTATAAAAATTTGGAAGGGTTCAAGTTGGAACAGTCCTACCCATCATGCAGTTCTTCCTGACGTCCATATGGCACCAGCTGATATTGAAATATGATAACCAATAACTGATGGTTCCTATCTTATCATGGTCTGTGGCTGCAGGCATTCTTTCTCGGCTTCAGTTATCTATAGCGATATACAATGTTTTAAACATTAGTCTTGTCTTCCAGGCATTTTTGAAAAAAAAGAAAGATTTGAATCCAGATAAGTAGGAAAACTAATTAGACAAAGACTTTTGAAATGTATTGCTAAAATTTCAGGCAAGGGGGTGAGTAGAAATAGAAAGTAGATAAGTCAATGCCAGAGGATTATGTAATAAGTCTGTAGTGTCCAGATCTGATATAATTTTCTTTCCTTTGGGCAAAATTGTTCCATTGATACATTTGGTACCACCAAATCTGTGCATTGATTTGAGCCTTGTTTTTGCTGATTTTATCGCAGAGCACAAAGACCAGATAATATTTGTGGCCCATGCTCTGTCTATACTGTCAATTCCTTTACTATTGCAACAGTTTTATTTGGTGCTAGGAGAAAAAGACAGGTTGATGCAGTGTATTAAATTCCTGGTTGAAACAATTCCATAGTACAATAGTCATTGAAAACTGAGAATAAGACTACCTTGAAACTGAAAGTTTTAAGAGTTACAGTACTGTGTGGTCTGACTCTAGTATGCACAGTCACCCGCAAGCATGCAGGAATTCCAGCTTCCAATTTTCCCAAGGATATATCGCTACTGTGTACGTGCTGGGTACATGCCTTGATGCACAATTGCATCTCTACACAATAAGAGATTTGTATTCTACCCTTCTTCCCGTCCTAAATACCCCTCATCCTAAATCCCCTGGCTCCAGGTTCAGCCTTACCGGCCTGATAACCAAATATGGAAATTGGGAAAAGCCCCTGCAGGAAAGACTGTTTATTTGCTCAAAGGATGGAAAATCTGAGTCCTGTTGCGTGTCATTTTAGCAAAAAGGGAAAGACAAATTTGCATGTCATTTTAGCAAAACGAAACACAATTGTGCATTTGAGGCAAAAAGAGATAATATTTTAGCATAAACCGAAAGACAGTTTTGCATTTATTTCAAGGCAACAAGGCAGAAAGAGATGTATTGTAGTGTCATTTTCTCAGAGCATTTGATATAACATAAAAACTTACGGTACGTTTTATCAAATATGACTCTCGTAAGATTGTACCATCTTATGATATGCAAATCAAAGCTCTGGCAAGCTTACCTAACTCCTGAATGTGTCAAATATAGATATTAATCTAATTAATTAATGGGTGAATGTGAGACTGTAAGGTGGTATGTGTCAGATATGTCCAATCCTGTTATTGTTCAGAGCTGAATGAATGGTAAAATGATGACATGATAAATCGGTTCTTCTACTACTGAGGCTACACGTAGGTAACAAGATGTGCCGCCTTGCTCAGTGATATGTATCAGAATCTTTATAACATCAAAATTAATGTTTATATCATTGATGGGAGCTATGATGTATGTATGGATGATCCAGTATGATTAGATGCTTGTTTTTGGATGATCAGTAGTGTGGGCCATGTTCAAATGAGATGTTCAACAGCATATCGCATTTATTATGTTAGGATTGCTGGTGTATTCCCTTGTTGCTCAAAGGAATGGAGCTCAAATTGTCTTGTCAAGCCTTTCAAAAGAGCATTAATTTACTTTTAAGCTGTATTTCAAGGCATTTTTATTACTTCTGGGTATGGAAGCATTGTTTTGGGTGGCTGTGGGTTTGTGTGTCTGTCTGGACATAGTAGTAGGTTTACAGCACGTGGATTGGGAAGATTATCAGGCAGAATGACAAGTCAAAAGGTCAGACACAGGAAATGGGGGTAACTTAAAGGTCACGAAAACTCAAAATACTTCCTGAAAATCTATGACTGGAATTAAGTTTAAAATGTTTTATGAGACAAGTTGGAATTCTTGAAATGTTTCTTGTCTCATACTAGATGTTTGCAACTTGATTTATCTTGTTGATTCTCCTTGCAGGTGACATCACCCAGAAAGGTTTTGAGAAGAAGAGGGCGCGGCTCCTGGCTCCGTACGCACAGCAACAGCAGCAGCAGCAGCAGAGGCAGGAACAGCTGCGACAGGAGCTGCAGAGACAGCAGCACCAGAACCAGCAGAGACAGCAACAGCAGAGACATGGACAGTCAGCACAGCAAAGCAGACATGCTGGTAAGACATAGAACACTGTCATATTCATTCTTTTCTAGAACTATCGCAGAGTGGAACTCGCTGTCACCAAGTACAGTAGGGGCATTGTCATTAGATAGCTTTAAACAATGTCTAGAGTTAGATGTTCAAGGGTTAGGTGTAACACGTAATGTAGCCAGCTGCCGCCGCTTCCGCGTGCCTGCGAAGATGGTTTGTTATGCTGAAAGGCGGTTATACCGGCTATACAGATACAGATACAGATATTTATCATGATTATCCTATATTTATGTATCTTAAACCCCAAATTTTCTGTCAAATGCATGATGGTTTCCCTTGACACGTCTATGTCCCAAATACTTCATATTTCCCTTCTTGCACTCCATACAGGGAGATGTATTGTTTTTGTTACTTGAGTGACGGAATGAAATGAAGGATGGAATAGCCCAGGGCACCATCCTGCAGTGCCCCCTAGCTTATAGAGGCAGTACTACAGCCTGTTAAGATTCTGATCACATCCAAATGCCAATAAGAAACCGTTCAATAATCAGTCTGAAAGCAACAATGGGTAGCCTGGGTACCATCCTACTTGTATGCCGGGGCTCCCACACTCGCTTCCCTAAGAAGTACTTCTTAGGGAAGCGAGTGTGGGAGCCCCGGCATACAAGTAGGATGGTACCCAGGCTAAGCAATGGGTACCTCCTTGCACTGATACAGATGGGTCTTTTTATTGAAATAGATAAATGGCAGATTTTCATGTCGTGGCGATTTTGAAAATGATAAATCAAACAAATAGCCCTTCACCAACAATATGTTCTTATCTTGATGTAAAACAACGAACAAAAAAACACATAGTAAATGTTAGTAAGTCATTCCACAGAACATCAATTATGTGAAAGGGAATTTGGCACACTGTTATACATTACAGTTCTTCTTTTCACTTTCACACACATGATGAACAGATAATCAAATTATAATGGCCTAAAAATATCCATCCATTCCCTTTGAAAGGGTCAGCAATACAGGATACGTCAGCAAAATAACATTCATGGATCCTGTGATTTGACGTAGAACACTAGAATAGCTTTTTTTAATCAAATTAATTTGTTAATTGCAATCCAACCAAGTTGCTACAAAAGCACTACTGGAAAACCGATTTTCTTTTTGCAAATACGACAATTTTTTATTAATCACTAAAGATATCCGTTCAAATGTCAAACTACAAATGAGGTAGTCATGAAATATTGTTTTCTCATGATATATTGTGTGAAAGAATGTAGGGCAACAACATTAAAAATGATTTGCAGTATTTTAGCGTGCCAGGAAATGTATTCCTGTGGTTATAAATTTCTCTGCGGGTTTTTTTATTTCTCTGGGCTGACGCATAATGGCATTTTGTGAAATGTGAAAGGTGTTGGGAAGCGATAAGAATGTTAATTTCTACGTGATACTCCTGAACTTATAACCTCTAGACTGGGACACAGTTGTAGCAACTATTTATATTGCATTGATTTAGAAGTGGCTATCACACCTCAACCTTAATACAGCTATAAATTTAAACTTGGACTTCAAAGGTATTATGTGTAATGAACATTCATACTTGTCAAGATAACAGAACGTTTTCAAGATGGCTGCCCAAGGTCATACTGATGTAGAATTCCTGCTGTAGTCTGGCGTGTGTCTGACTTCCTCTGTTAATGAATCTGTACAGGGGAGACAATCGTAGTCCTTACATGGGGTACTGGAGATTGATTTACTTTCCTGGTGGTTTTATTTTGTGGTAGGAGGGAAAGGAAGGTTTTCACTGTTGTAAATCTGCGGTTGAATAACTGTTACTGTAGTTGTTAAATGGGAGAGGTATTTATGGTGCCAACAATTCATGGTGGATAGATCACTGTGAAAACTGCAAAAATGATATAGAAAATAGTGGTCATATATTTCAAGCTATCAATTTATTCTATTCAGAACAGGATTTTAGTCAGTAACCTAGCATCAATGATTCAATCCATCATGAAATTTTACTGGATGAAAAGGAGAAATACGTATAAAAGTAATTAGATTATTGGAATTACAGTCTGTGTATATCATGATATTGCCATTTATCAATCACAAATACTCCGACCTTATCTTGGTTACTTGACCTAGATGTGAAAAATATTTCTCTTCCTCCATAAAGTGTCATACAATGCAAAAACTAACTGCGACGACACAAGTTCTAGTGTATGCAGTGGTACAATTTGTATGCTAAGATTGACAGTGCCTGCCACTGGGCATACTAGCCGGGAGCTCACTGCTGTGCTCTAACTGTGATCTGGAATGGCCATCGGGATGTTTCCCAGTTGTTAGGCCGGCTTAGATATGTCAGACATGACCTGTGATGTAGGCAGGGGTTAGAGGTCAGCCCTGGCTCGTCTGGTTCAAAGATGGCAGACTGGAGACAAGTTGAAGTTCATCTCTCCTGTTAGACAGGAAAATGTTGTCGTGCTTAGGTGAGAATTCCTTCTTCTAAAGCTATTCTTCCACATAGTCTGTCATAACTATTCTGTAAAGAGTTTTAAACTGTCTTCTTATGTTGGTAGGATATAGTTCATGTAATGTGCATTGCCGAATGTTATACATACGTACAACATGTACGTAGCGAGTTGAATTTGTAGGCACTTCACATAAACCCTGCATGTCCACAAAATCTTTCTTTAGCTTCATAGCACAGTCACAGTGTGCGAATGTATGTCATGGGGCCAATGCAGGAGTATCTGTAGGCCATACAAGCTGTAAAGGATTTCTCTGCACATAAACGTCTATGTCGCAGGGAGCCTTATTTTATGGCACACGTGAGCCTGGGAGGATAAGGACAATAAATCGTATGTTCGTGTCTGTGTGAGAGAAGATAATGGTATCATGTGAGAGGTTACCTCACGGTAAGAGCTGATAGAAAAGGAGAGATAATACCGCTGGCCGACGCCCATATTCTGCACTTGGCCCCTGGCCAGTTGTTCTTTCCATCGTCTATTCTTGTGCGACAAAGTCAATACCAGCAGCTAATCTTACATACTTGTATCTAGCAACAAAATCTGGCTTGATACTTGGGCTGTCCTGATAGGACTAGCATCTGTAGTTGCCAGTAGAAGGAAGGAATGCTCAAGCAGCAAGGAACATGTCTTTAAGGACTATTCCAATTTTGTACCTTAGAAGGGGGACTGGGGGACGTCCAAAATTTCCCCCCATTATTTCGTAACCTGATATATTTTTGAATTTCATTTGGTTTATGGATTTTGGTTTTATGTACAGTTGTGGAAAATCGAGAAAAATGCAGACTACATTTTTATGGAAGATGAATAACATTAAGATGCGTTTTTGTTCGTTATCATGAAAATCAGCTACCAGTATTATTAAAGGGTATTTTGTTGATGACCTATGAAGATAAGCTTGCAGACTGTGACATAAATGTTAGTTAACACATGCACATTGAAATAAATGCAAAGAGACTGTTACAGTATTTTGAAAAAGCATTTAAAGCTTGGCTGTAGACTACACAAAGCTACATATAGCAGTAGTTTGATCTAAATGGAACTCCTATGAAACAGAAGCTGGTGAGAACACTATGATCTGATACAGTGATACCATTGAGGTTCTATGTGTCATATGGGTCAATGTTACATATGTGCAGAACATCACATGCTCTGCTATGAGATGTCATTGATGCTATTTCCTTTGGTACTTTTCCTAAACTCCAAAAATCTTAGAAATCCGTGTAACATTAAAAGCTATCCTGCTCATAAACCTAAGAATCCTACCACAGTACTGGAAATATATCATCTACAGCACATGCAATAAAAGATCAAAAACTGGACATATGCAGTACCGTTGCTAGGGGGCCCAAAATGTTATCATTTCTTTGATAAGACCAAACCATATACTGAATATCCTAACAGTGCATCTTAGCTTCTTGAGTTATGCTGTTCAACCATAAATACCAAAAGGCAATAAAAAAATGATGATAAGAAGAATAAGATAGAAAAGCTAGTACATTATTTATCATTGTTCGGTTACTATATTCAGGTCATTAAATTCTCCCATGTTGTGTTATTTTCTCCAGGTTCGGGCGGGTCCGGCAGTAGCCATGGCAACGAGCGCCAGTCCCAGGCGCAGCGCCGGCGGGACAGACGCCGGGGTCGACACGATCATCGGGACGAGAGATACCGATCAGGTGAGTCAAGGGCGGAACCTTCCTGTGATAGCGCTCCTGAAATATTCAGTTGTGGTGTTTCCAATCTCTGCGGAGGGGTCTGGTTATTGATGACTGCTGTTTTCAGAAGGTCCTGTACAATTGGAGCAGGTACGGAAGTATTGTTTTGGGTGGCTGAGTTGTGAGTTTGTGTATTTTTTTGTCCAAAGTAGGTTGACAGCATGGGGTGGAGGAAGATTGACAGGCAGAATGACAGGAGGTCAAATGTTTCAGAATCTGGCTGAGAGCCATGGGGGAATTCAGGAAGCCAAGGATTGCATACTTCCTGGAAGTCTGAAAACTCTGATTTCTTTTTTTTCTTTCTTCTTGTTTCCTGCTATAAGGCCATGTCAATGTGTGATGTTTGATGAAAATTGTGAATGTAAACGTGTTCTTGTGACGTGCAATAAAGAAGGCAAAAGCTAGGTGGCTCTTTTAATGTCAGCGACTGTGTGCATCTTCAGGGTACACTTGAAGTGACCCAAGTAGGTAAATGGTAGTACTTGGTAGTCCAGTTGGTTTAGCACTGTTATTGTTTGAGTTGGAAGTCTGCCATTGGGAAGGTTTTGCTTATATTGGACTTTCTGGGTGCTGGCTAGTGCTTAAGTTTTCAAGTTCAACAGGCCTCGTCCTTGAACTAATGCAAAGTATTCGGTTGAAAATTGTTTCCCTAGGATTTACATTGATTGATGCATTCTGGTGTAATTGAAAGTCAATACGTATGTTTAAAAGCATGCCTCCCTCAGCTGTTATCCATAATGATTTTTCACCACACTTCTTAAACTGAAACCAGTCCCCAGACACGTGTTTGTATATCTGAAAGTTGCCTTTCTAAATGGAAACATCAAACATGTTTTAATTAGAAACACAAGAATCAGTAGGGAGAAACTTCCCACTGACCTTTGTTTAAAAAGCCTCAGGGCATGATAACGGATTGTTACAATGTGCTGAAAGAAATGTCGAACGTTAAAACCATCAACTTGAAACTTGAATACAATATACAAGTTCTAAAAAGTTCAAAGAAAGTTTGGGATGGATGTTGAAATATTTACATATGTATAATAATGTTTAGGAAGGTTTTAAAAACATATTTGGGTAAATGACTAATTTGTGTGAGAAAATCATGATGATATTTTTCATAAAGCATTGGAAAATTAATTTTTTTTTCGAAAATTTCAAAATGATGCAAGGATAGTTGACCCCAAGATAAGATGGTTGTGCATTAATAGATGCACATCTAGGATATCAAACCCCACAGATGTTAGAAGATATTAATTAAAGTGATGGCCAATATTAGAAGAACACCAAGAGGTAGCAAAAATTTAAATGTTCTGACCCCTAGATAAGCTGTACATTGATAGATGCACATCCAGCCCCACAGATGTGGCATCCATCAGAAGTAGCCTGCCCTGATGTGTGGGTGTGTTTTATCTGAATCTGGGGACCTCAGGGCAGGGTTCTTTCTTTTCCTTCTGGCCTCTGTCCAAGTTACAGACCTTTCTCTGGATGTTTTCTGTCAGCATTTCTGACCCTTTTTGTCATGGATGCCGGAACATGTGAAAGGACGTTACGTTTGTGAAGGTACGCGGAGACTTCAGGTATGGTTGGTGTTGATATATACATGTTTTTAGTGTGTATATTTTGGGGTAAGAACGTTGGAAGGCGTTGGACTTGCAAGGATTTAGTGTATAGTGGCAGGGATGTAGGCTTGTTAGGGAGTGGGGGAAACATTGCCAAAAATGGCTGTGTGTGTCAGGGGTTTATACTCTTCATTAGTTTAGGGAAGTTAGAAAAGTAGGAAATGACGAGGCAAGACAGATATGACGAGGCAGATAATCATGGGTGTGGCAGAGAAACTTGTGACGGCTGAGGAAAGAAACTGCAGGTAGGTGGTTTGGCCATTTGAATGTTTTATAACCTCTCAGAAGATGGTCTTTTGAAAAATGATGTTCCCAGTAGACTTGACAAGATTTTAAGGAAGTTACAAGCAAACATTTACCAACGTTTTGAAATGTAGAAAAAATAACCGTTGGTTTACAGTTGGTTTTGTAAATTGTAACGATACAGTTGTATCTGTGTACACACCCAGTACATCTTTATCTGTTACCTTTCAAAACTCTGGCCCTGGATTGTATAAAATTATCTTCTAACCAATCACTGTCCTGATAGAACACAGGTGAAAGGAAACTTGTTTGACACTAAAGGTCACAACCTTTGACCTGTGGGCATGTCCCCTTGCAGCCTGGTTATCTAACTAATTCAATTACTGATGCTCAAAGTTCAAAGTTCAAACTTCTGTTTCTTCAGTTTCTTGTAAAATTTCATTTGGCTCTTTTTTTTCTTTTTTTTAGCCCTTGTCTCACTTCAGAATATTATCTTCTTCCTGTGATTAATTTGTATCTCAACCCACCTATAGATAAGGCCATTAGTTTTGAACATTTGTTTATAGTAAAAGGAAATTTGTTAAGTAAACACAGAGATGAACACAGTATGGTAGGCCTGGGAGGTTGATAGGCTATCTGTAACTATCTCCAGATACTGTGTTAAACTTTTGCCTGTTGAGGTAGACACTGGATATCAAATTTGTGTTTTGGGTAAGACACATTTGTACCGTATTGTTATCAAAACACACCTCTTGTCCTGGCCTCTGAGAATGTAAGTGTCATGTCCAAAGGCGTATCCAAAGGTATGTAACAGTCACAAGCTTCCTCTCATCACCAATTTGCTACATTCCATCGCACACTATCGCAGAGTGGAACTCACTGTCACCAAGTACAGTAGGGGCATTGTCAATAGATAGCTTTAAACAATGTCTAGAGCTAGAAGTTCAAGGGTTAGGTGTAACAAGTCGATCGGTGTAATATAGCCAGCTGCCGCCGCACCACGTGCCTGCGAAGCTGGTGTGTTACGCCGAAAGGCGGTTATACCGGCTATACAGGTACAGATACAGATTCCACATACCTGATGATGTAGGCAATATAGAGATTTTTATTCTGTACATTAGATAAGAGTGGTCTGAATAGGTAAAATTAAAACCTATAAATGTGGGTTTCAAGTTTGGATGGAGGCATTCAGACAACCATGTACACATGTAGACACCCTGACTGGTCAAACACAGATAAGCACACTGGGTCTGTCAACACTGCTCAATGGATTATGTCTCTACTTTCACTGTAACACCAACAAAACTCACAACCTTAGTGGGATACTATTACCAATTAGAACCAATGTGCCAAACTGTGTATCATTCTTTGTACACACTCTGGCTGGTGATTTAATGCAAGCATAGTTTGAATTGAAGGTCAGCTTCCTTTTTTGCATGTTGTTACCAGCCAAGGGCAAGGTTATTGTTGAAATTTAATGTGGACTGGAAAGTACAAGGCTGATGCTATTTCTTAGCGACTGCTGTAGAATAATCCTTTAAAAAGTTAGTCTCGCAAAGAAAATTGTAGCTGCTTTCTTTGATAATGCTAATGAATGATGTCGCTAACCATTTACATCTAGGCAGGATACTAGTATATAGTTTCTGACGAAGCCAACATTATTGGGAAATTTCCTTCAAGTTTTTTTACAAGTTTTCCTACAAGAAACAGAAGGAGCAAAATGGTGCCTTCAATTTTTCAAATCTTGGATTGACAGTAAACCACAAAAAAATTGTGTTTTGTAGCAGGATCTGACTAGGTAATGGTTCAAGCACAATTTCTGGCCAGTCAAAACTCCAGACCTAATATGTTTCCTCAACATTCAACAACCAGGCAGCCAGGGTTTTCTTTGGTAACCCTCTGTCATTACAGAGTAATCACACTGTTATATACACTTGGCTTATATGGGTACTGGAGCTGTTATTTTACGCCCAACTGTCTGGAGAGAAGAGGTCTCAAGTAATTAATATAACCAGTATAACAGGTGGAAGGACCTTTTAAACCCTCAGAATGACGTCTTAGGCCTTTCAAACTTGACTATGTGTTTGGTAGGCTGGGCCTACTTATTTCAGTATTAAACCACTCTGCATGAAGGTAGATATATTCATAAACTGAAGGCATCTAGCATCGAAATTTAGATGCGCAAAGACATACATGTACTCAAGAAATGATTGAAATCCAATAGAAGATTCAATTTTCTCATCTGAAATAAAAGTATATTGTTGAGTGAAACTTTAATACATTAATGTGAGTCATCTCAAAGAAATATGGAGAGAATGGGATGCTAAATATATATTCAATCTTTGATAAAATGTTAATTTATGCACAATCATAAGACACTCATTTGCATACTTGGGACTGCTAAATTTTGACAAATTTTATTGACGCCTCACTCCTCTATTCTGTGATAAAAAAAAGGCTTTGAACAAGCAGTTAAGGTCAAGTGGCTGGCTGTTGGCTCAATCCTACCACCATGGCTTTACCCCTCCATCAGCACAGTTGAACTTGGCAGAACTAGAACCCTCTCTGTTATCCCAGCGTCCTGTTATGGACTCGGCAGCCATGACTGTGTTGAAACTGAGCTAATCAGATTTGGCACGTTGTTCCTCCTCGAGAGGAAGCTGAGAAGGCTGTCCACCCACTGCCTTCCCCACTTCAAATTCCAGCCCAGCAAACTCAAATCCTGATGGTGTACAGATTCGGTACCTTGGTACCATGTAAGATTTATCCTGAATGTGTCCTGTGTTTTCTCCCGATTCTGGATGTACTATACATGTGTGTGTAAGCAGAAAATGTCCAAGTTTAGAAGAGATTTGTAGACGGATGTTTGGATGCTGACTTTGAAATTGTGGTAAGTCTTTCTTATACAGACTTGAATGGGAGTTACAGGGGGACTATAGTTTCTTGACTTTTCTGATATGTGTAAGGCTAGATATGATTTGTAAATTATGTAATGTTGGCTGTTGACACTATCGTAAACAGAATTGGCAGTAAGTTTTAAACTTTCGTGACTGTAACTGGTGGGAAGCTGGATGAAGTATCAAGTCAAAGTCTTGTATTTCAAGTTTAATTTTCCCCATGTGCCAGGGTAGGTTCAAAGATCCCCACCAAACTTTAATTGAAACACCGCCACTTTTGCTCTGAAGACAAACAGGATTGGCCTGCTGCCCCTGCCAAATAAAGGAACACATGTTTCCCTTTTTGTACTGAAGTTACAGCCAATATTAGTCATAGTCCTACAATACATGTGGTTTACACAATGTTCCAGCCAACATGAAAATTTTTTTCGTCATCTCAATGCTATTCCTGCATTCTTAGGGGTAAGTTTTGTCTCAAAACTCAGCTTAGTTTCACTTGAATGCCATACAAAGATGACGGATTGGCCAAATTTTTTGTCTATTATGAGGAGCAAAATGATAGAAAGATGGACAATGTCTAGAATATTGGTTTCACATGAATAGAACATACATATCCATTGTTACAAGAAAATTTGTAGCTGTAACTCTTTAACACACAAAAGAGAAACTTTTGCAGTACCAGTAGTAAGATGCCATAAGTCTTGACAAGTGAAACAGTAGTAAAAGTCTATGATCTATACCAGACAGGCCATGTGTTGTCCTAGGATGTAGTGCAGACATCTTGAGTCAGTCAGTTGTTTACCACAGGGCACATCTTGGTAACCATGGCGACCAAGGTACATGTATGTTCTCTGTCTGGATTGATGATTGACATGATGTGTTGAGACCACATTTCAAAAGTTGAGAATGAAGTCTTTTAGAAATTCTAAGACAAAAAGGGGTACTGAGACATATGAATTTTATGTGTCCCACAGTGCTACCCAAAAACATTTTGATATTCTTGTTTTCTTTGTTTGTTTGAACATTTGTTTAAGCAGTTGTTGTCCTCTTCATCTGCTACTATATAATACATAGAATGCCAGTACGAAAACATCTATTGTGAAAAATGTTTGTTATCCTTAAAATGTCCTAAACAGTTGTGTAAAAACTTGGCCAACACTTCAAGCCATTTTCTATGCCACCATAGATAAGACAGACTTCCTTTTCTATATCAGTCGTGACCCCCCTCCCCATCTATAACCCCTCACACTGTGATACTATCTCATATCTTTTGTAATTTGCTTCCAGTGCTTATCTTTTCCCAGCTCCCAGTATAAGAGGTGTGCCAAAAGTTGGTTCCTGGCTGCTAAAGATAAAGCCATAATTAGATAGATAAATAGTGGAGATAGATACTAGGAGGAAAGGAACTGCAACAGGTTAGTTAAACTGTCTTGAGTGTCAGTACAAGTCATATGTTCTGTTGTAAGATAAGAATCGTGAAAGGACTTATATTTTTAGACTATAGAGTTGTAGAAGGTTACATCTGAAAGGTCATGAACTTGCAGATGTTAGTTTGATGTTTTACCTCTGCAAAGAAGGTTAGGTTTTCAATAGTGTTTTGTAGCCTTGTAAGGTTATGAATAGTATAACTCAAGAAACTTTGGATGGATTATCACGGTGTTCGGGTCATGTACATGTATATCATTAGCATTAGAGACAATGAAGAAATTGTTAGATATTCTTAAGAAGTTTAGTGCATTTATGTGTAACTTGTAGCATTTTGTAGCACTAGCATAACTCAAGAAGCTGTTGATGGATTGTCACAATATTTGGTATGTTGTCAGCTTCTGACTGTCAGACATATCAAAGAAATGGTTGGACATTCGCCTTATCAAGTCCATGTACATGTGACTGGACTGTGGATCATGTCCCGTCTTTGTTGTAATGGTACAGAATGGACTGTACTGGATCCAGACCCAGCCATCTGGTTTCCTAGTCTGTCTCCACTCCTGTGTACTTGCAGATGAAAAGTTACTGTATAGACAGGATGTGTTGCTGACAGGGGGAATGTGACAGTCGTTGAATGATACATGAAGTTTGAGATAGCGACATATGGTGCGCCTTGGCCGCGAACCAGAAATGGGGGTTTTGGAAGGAAAACTGGGCAACTTAGGTCATCGTTACCCCTAGCAACTGACTGTTTTCAGCAAATTAGTTCCGCAACCCCATAATTCTGCCAAATCATTATCTTGGGCTGTCAGTTCATTTAAAGAAAATTACAACTGATGTCAGTACACATCTTTCTGAAAATTAGACAACTTCTTTCTTGGGCCAATTCACAAAGTTTGAATGATAATCCATGTAAAATATGATGTATAATTTTTTAAAATTATGCCGTCTAGAAATGGACAATAGTAACTTCCTTTAGAAGTTCATAAACTAGTTTGCGTCCCATCGTTCACAGGTATATGACAATTATCCATGTTTGTTTTAAAATGAAACGCACAATGACAACAAACCAGAATTGGCCTTTACACACTTTTGTTATTATAATAAAACAGAAAAAGCCAAGTTTATATAGTGTGAAAACAGTCTATAGAGAATTCAGCATTCAGACTCCCATCAAACTGCTATCAAGAATGGGATTATAATTGATTATGGTTTAACAGTTACTGTCAGTTGAGCCTGTGGATTGATGCCCACACGTGGGGCCTCCAGGGCACTCCCAGCCTGACCTTGGCCCCAAGTATGTAAGCAGGCATGTTTACTGGCACAGTGGGGTGTGTGCTGTGTCCTGTGGGGGGGCTGGTGTTGTAGTGTACATCAGGTCAGTTGTATGCAGTCATAACCTTGTGTTCTGTTTTGGTTCTGTTGTCACAATTCATATTCTTCAAAAGTACTTGCTTTTGCAACATTTTCGGATATATTACAATAGTTTTTCTTTCAGCCCTAGTTTTAAACTTTTCAGACATGTTGTGCTACGCATTAGTAATGGGACGTGAAGGTAAAACATTGTAGCCTGGATGCCAGACTGTTTCCAGGGCCTACACAGGCCAGCTCCTCGGCTTTAGGACCAACATGCCTCCAAGGAAATATTACTACAGACACCTTGGAGGCATGATGTCCCTATAGCCGAGGAGCTGGCCTGAGTTGGCCCTGGCAACAGTCTGGCATCCAGGCTAAAACACGGAGAACTCCATATGTTATATCTTTTTCCTTTATTTCCATGTAGACTTGGAAAAACTTTAGCAATAGGACTAGGAGTTAATAGGCTAGGGTAACTGATAATCTGTCTGCTATTGTTGGCATTAACATTCTTTTGTCATGACTGTGGTGTCCAGGATTGGTGGTCGTTCTGGTGCAGGAACAATTACTTGTTTTGTTGTACGTGTTGTGTGTGTTCAGCATAACAGTAGGATTGAGTCATTGTCAGAATTGTTAACTGTATACCCAGAAGAAAGTTGGGAAACTGTCTATGCAATGTATTGTATGTAGCTGTTGGCATGTATGTGTCAATTTGGTAAGTATTGAAGTATACCGGGCGTATCTTTGTTTATACAAATATACGGCCATGTTGACAAAACAGTGTTACTGGCATTGTTATTAAAGGATATACTTTGTATGATGCCCTGAGCCCTCTCCCCCTTTATAGAATTGTAACATGACGGATTACTAGTATACAGGTATTGGACATGTTTTGACAGAGAAATTTTGCATATACTAAATGCTTTTATGTTTCTTCACTCACCTGTGATAATTATATATCCTGTACTGTCTGGACATGTTTTTTTAGACAAAGTGCATTGTAAATGTATTTGTACCATTTGACCTGGGTTGTACAATTTGTTGTCACCAGTTAGTTTGGTTCAATTCATGAACATTTCTAACCTTTGTGTGAAAACATAATTACACTGTGATCAAACTTTAGATACAAAGACAAGTGAGCAGGTCGTCTTTGTTTACCTTTGCCAAGAAGGTTACGTTTTTGTATGTATGTATGTATGTGTGCTTGTATGTACAGTTTAGCTCGAGAAGTCATGGATTGATCTTGATGACATTTGGTATGTATTTAGGTATTGGTGAAAGAAAGGATAAGTTTGATTATGGACCACCTGGCAGCTTCCTGTGGTACTACCTTCCAGTCTTGATATCTCAATGTTGTATCTTGCACAAGTCTAATGTTTACTCCTTGTGTGTTGCAGATATCCACGCTGAGGCAGTCCAGCAGGCCTTGGCCCAGCACAGTAAGAGGAACCGTGTGCCGGTGATGCCCATGCCGTCCAAGCGCCAGTCTCTGGTCCTTAACAACCCCGTCATGGACACACCGACGGGTAAGTCACGCGGCCTCTCAAGCAGGAAGTATTGTTTTGGGTGGTTGAGCTGTGGGTTTGTATATCTGTTCATCAGGACAGTGTAGGTTGACAGTGGGTGGCTAGCCTCCATAACAGACGTATAGAACTGGGGGTTTGGTGGTCTTCGGCTGTTTTCTGATTGGCCCAGTTCTCTCAAACAGGGGTAATTCAACCAGGCCGGCTGTGTTGTCTGTATGCAATCAGAAAATAGCACATAAAAGCTCCCAAAGACCATTCAGACCCCAAAACCACCAGTTTTTGGCATGCTATGGAGGCTAGTGTGTGGTGTGGGTGGGGGAAGATTGACTGGCAGAATGACTGGAGATCAATGGTCTTATATTCTCTCATTCCTGTTGGCCAGAAGCCAATAGGAACTAGAGGTTAACATGGGGGAATTCAGGAAGCTGAGGATGACAAACTTCCCGGAAGTCTGAAATCTCTGATTTCTTGTTTGAGTGATTATGTTTATTATATTTAGTTATCAGTACAATTGTAACAGTACTACTAGATAGCACTTTTATATGATTATGTTGAATAATAAATCAGACCTACTCACTTGAGGTAGAAAATAAAGAAATTCTCAATGAAACTTTACATTCTGAAGCATTTCATAACTGGAAAGTGTATGAATGTTACTATGACATGAGGTCTACCTACATGGGTAGGATGTTTGGAAACAAGACTAAGTTTTTAGAATTTTTCTTGAATGTTTTCTCCTGTGGGACTTGCAGAGTTAGCCCGGCTAAGACACTTCCATTCCCAGAAGGCCATGCGCTGTGTCGCCCAGAACAGACTCTCGCTACATACTCCCGTACAGTCCGGTCAGTTCGCTGTGTGGCTGCTGGCTTCTCATCATCAAAAACAATCAAAATCACGTTAATAAATCATAAAAACATGTCCATGCCATTGATATGATTTGGTACTAAACCTGAGTTCCAAGACACAATACAAAATCATACTTATCAAAACTTTGAACAATCCTTCAGTCTCCCTCAGGATGAATGACCTACAGTTTTGGTCATGTACCTACAGTGTAGTGGGTCATTGATCCTGAGGAAGGCTAAAGATCAGCCAAACATTTGATCTGATATTTGTTGTTCTTGAACCAAATTATAGAGTCAATATAAACTGTATAATTTGTACATCATAAAAAATCATTGATTGCTAGTTTAGACAGCAAAATTACTAGCATCAATTTCAATAATTTGATGCAACAATCCTCTGCCCTACAGCTTGAATTTCAACAAAGTTATCAGATTTACATTTATTCCTGACTCTGTATTCAGCACTCAGTTTTGATTCAAAGAAAATCAGCTTGATTTTTGCGAGCTTGGCTTGTAAAGAATGACACGAGCAGCTGTGATGTGTGCTGCTGCATCAGTCTGCATCTGTCTGCAGCTGTCAGCAGCTGTTAGCTGCAGCTGTTTGCTGCTGTTTGCAGTGATGCTTGCGGCAGTTTGAGATGATTGCAAATGCATGAAAGAAATGGTCAAGGACAGACTGCTGGCTCCGCATAACTTTATACGTGATTTTTACATAGAATGTAAAGAAACATAAAATGAAATTGTTTCCCTGTCCAGTCTAATGATTCAACAATTTACAAGGAGTATTTAGATGTGATTAGCTAAAATTCATTCCTATCACCAGCAAATGTAGGAGAGGAATCACAAATTCCTTTCTTTCAATGATGTACATGTATATGTCAGGGTAGATAATCAATGATTCTGCCGGTAAAAATCCCAATCGGAGTTACTGTCAGCAGAAACTCTGATCAGTTTCTCTACCGATGGTAGAGATCCCGACTGTAAATTTAAGATTTTCACTTATAAAAGACAATCAGAACTTTTCAACTCGAAACTTAGGATTTACAAGTGTGAGACCACCCATTCCTACCACCCTGATTGCCATCTCTGTTGACAGAGATTCCAATCGAGATCTCTTCCGATAAAATCTCGGATTCTATCAGTTTGCAATCTCTACCCTAACATATCCGAAAATATGCACGAAGTAACAAAAAGGCACATGAGGACGTGCAGTTTTGTAACACCTCTTTGTGACATTTCTAGACACGTCTTCTGATGATGAGAGTATCCACTCCGGTCGACTGTCCACCTCGTCCCCGGAGCATCCCTCCAGACAGCCCGGCGGACTCACCAAAAACAGCGCCGGCGGGAGTCGGTCATCGGTCTCCTCACAGTCCACCACGGCCAGCGGCGCCCAGGGTGCCCCCGGCGGCATCTATAGTATTGCAGATGTTCTACAGGACTCATGTAAGTACTTAAACATAGAAATAGTTCTTTCAACACTTAACTGACGTACTAGCAATGCGTCTATTTTATACGATGTCTTTTTAAAGATATATATAATCACAATTAACTTATTTTAGACCTATTTAAGGGAGGAATACTAGGGTCTTATCACCAGTGGTTGGAATGGTTAACTTTGCCCTTGATTAGACCTTTTATTGCAGAACGTATTGAATACGTAGAAAACAAGGATTACATTATAAGGACCATGAAATTATATAGATTTGAGACCTATGCCTGCATGCTTCTGGTATAAATGGCAGAAACTGCTTGAATATTATTAAAAAGGTTTTGGTAAAAATCAACTCTATATAGCCTTTGGAATCCTTTTCTGTTCCTATTTTCCCTGTACACCCATAGGTTTATTGTGACAAGCTGAGTTTGTTGGTAGTCTAGTTTTGTTTCCAATTCTCTAGACACAGTTCCACAGACCAGCCATATGCATGCTGCTGTCATGCCTTGGTACTGTAGGCAAACCTGCATCATTCTTAGGTAGAAATCATGGATACAGCCATGACAGATGCAGCTGTGTGTTGATCTACAACCTCTGCAGGGCTCTCAGCATTTTCTGGTCAAAATTATGTTATGGGGATAAACTTGACTTTGATGTGGACTTAAGCCAACTGGTTCAAAGTTAAACATGATCCAAGTAGTGACAATGTTTTCTTGGCTCAGGAAAACTAACAAAAAACATATAGGTGCTACAAGATACATATAGGTGAAGTAAAGTAAAGTTTGTAATATGCCAGTCTGTATGTGTTCAAAATACAATTAACCCATGTCCTGCTGGCAATTTTTACACAATATTTTCAAATAATTTCATGACTCATAATCAGGTCACAGACCCTTGACTTTTTTTTGCCCTGCGGCGGCGCAGTTACTTCCGCATTCGTTGCGTTTCGCTGCGGTGTGATGCGTTGCACGAGAAACACCCCCAAATCGCACATATACAGGGCACTATATAGATGGTACTGTATGTGCAACCCATATATATATGGGCCCCGCAGGACAAGGGTTTTAAAATCGAAGAATTTCTGACCTCAAATTCCAGATTTTTAATACCTTAGAGAACAAAAACCATAGATCAAATTTGACCTGGAAATAAATGTACAATGACAGTAGCCACTTTTTACTGAGAGTATTGAAAGTTTGAAGTGGTAGCCCTGCTTCGGTTCGGTAGATCAGTCCCACAAACTTTCATGCTGTCATCTTCTTTCTCCCTGCTCTCCATTGCTCCCTCTAGCTGGAATCTTCAGTATTGCAGATGTCCTTCAGGGGTACCAGGAAGGTTGGTTTTCCATAGGGTTGTGTGGCTTGAGTCGACACCCTGACCACCCCTATTCAAGACGTGAAACATACCAATAATCATTGACACTGTATTGTGGTCTGGTTGGCACCATTGATGAAGTAGGGGTGGCCAGGTGCTTTGCCAGCCTGAATATGTAGAGCACTTCCACCACACCCTGTTCTAGCTTTGTACATCTTTCTCATCACTTGTGCAAATCTTACCTACATGTCTACAGTCATGTAGCTTGCATGTTTGCTTGTGTAGAAGGTGTCTCTTCATTTTTGCTAATGCATGAAACATTCATGCAATATTTACATACCAAATTGTCCTCAAACATCCATGGACACAAATTGAAAGCCGATTGAAATAGCATTCTTAAAAATCAAGTCAATGTAGACAAGTTTTCCATGCAGCCCCAGTTATAATTTCTGCCAGTGTGTACAAAAATGTATTTGTAAGAAGTATTCTTGAATAATCGAAATCGCCTCACAAAAGAGAATAAAGCAAAAATAACTTCTGGCAGGCACATGTAGTAAAGCAAAGAGGCATTGAACAATAAGTCATAAAGGTTCCAAAATTAGAGGTAACTTGTTGTAACACAATCCAACACTTTTTCATTAACCCTCTTCTCCTGCATACTGACAGGTTACTACCCAGTTGTTAGCATGATAAAGGTTAAAGAGATTTAAACTTTCACAGAATACAAATCAAAACCACAGTAGACCCAAACACTGTCCTTTGCTATATCTTAAGAACTGTGTTATAAAAAGCCTTACCCTGCCTCCCCCCGCCCGCACAGTGCCCAGTTCCAGTCAGAAGACGACGCAGCAGCTGCCGCCAGACGTGACGTCCCCCTCCGTGGCCAGTCAGACCTTCCGCATGGACCGTACCATCGACAGGAGGCACAGGCCACAGCCTAAACCACAGCCACCTGAGGATGAAAATGGTATCTAGTAGATGATGGACCTGTCACAGGGCTTTTGCCAGTATCAAACGTTTTGTTGCCTGTCAGATTTTTTTCTAACATGCAAAATTTGCCTGTTGGAAAATAGAATCTGTAACTGGCAAAGTCCCTGTTCTGTAGTGTGGGGTGTTGCAAAATGAACATGTCACCATTTTGTTTTTTTCTGTATTGCAAGGAGGAATATGCAAAATGTACTGTGTATCTATAATTTGATATCATAGATGCAATCTTTGAATCTACACAAACCAATGGACCTCTAGAGCAAAATTGATGATTTATACATCACGATTTTCTTTTCTTCATACTGTACTGATTCATTATTTAGCACCCTGCTTCGTGTGCTTAACTGAAAAGGTGTTCTCTTTCCGTCCAACTCCCCACATTTTTATGCTTTTTTGCTAATTTTCTGTACAATATTTACTTACAGTTACTGTGAAAAACTTAACAAAATAAGTGTTGTAACAGTTGGGAAGCCTTTCTGCTGTGAAAACTAGAATGTATCAATAATTCCATGCGAAATTGTCTGCGAAATGCTTGGTGGAAACGTTGTGCTAAACCAGTATGTCCCTCTCTCCACGTCTGCGTGTCATGGCCAGATTCAGATCTAGAACTGCTGTGTGAGTAAAAACATGTTCCTCTTACCAAGTGCCCCCCTCCCCACCTTCCCATAATCCCTGGCGCCGCCTGCATGCTTGACTTTCAGGGCCATAGTTTGGCAACTAAAGCAAACTACCAGAGTCGTTGTTGCTTGCATGTCATTCTTCCCCTTTGTCCCCTTGCCATTTCATCGTTTTTAGAGTCTCAACATTCCAAATCCCCCGTTTTCCTTTTCCATTTTGAAAGACAGTAACATTTGTAAGGAAAGCAATACAAGTTTTGGAGTTTCGTAATTTTTTTCTCAGGTGTTTTCATTTTCTGATAAATTGTGACAGACTGCTGCCACAATAGTTTGCTGTATTGCCAGTTACTCAAGATTTCAAAAGATACATGACATTGTAATTTTGAAAATTGTGCAACTTTTTCAAGGCAAGCATCTCTGTAACAATGTATATTATGACAACTGTAAAGGTATCATAACATGGAAAAAAAGTAAGTTCCTCTAATTTCCGATTACAAGTGGAAACATAGGCTGAATTCTACTACAGTAACTAATACTACTGCTACTTCAGGGCGTACAATATGGTACCCTTCAAAGTCGGAAGATGACTCTCTATATTCAAAGTTTAACTTAGCAGTGTTGTATGTTATAGCTAACCTGTCACCCCCCATGTTTGTGTGTGTTGTTGCACAGTTCCCGTCCACGGGAAGGTGTCGGCTAAGATCCAGCAGCTCCTCAACACCCTGAAGAGACCCAAGCGCAAACCGCTCAGAGAGTTCTTCGTGGATGAGGAGGAGGAGTTAGAAGGTAGGAGACTTACAATGTACAATATTATATTGAGGGATAGCACTACAGTGTACATAAGTCTTAAACAGAATGTCTTAAAGGATTCTTAGATCTTAATCCAGATCTTTCTAGAAATATTTAATAATTCTTCCTCAGTCCTGCCTTGAAAAATTTCTTCAAAACAACTTTTTACCAGTCCATCTTTTTTATGTGCTTTATGAATTGTTCCCTTCATGACCAGTTCATAACAGATACATGTACCTTTGCCCTTGCTTTACTTGCAGCAATAGCAAAAGAAGTGGACCCCAATGCTCCGAAGGCAGAAGGTCCTAGTCATCTCACCTGCTGTGGGGGAATCACTAGCAGTGAGTACCGAAAAAACTACTTCAACTTGCCAAGATTATATCAGTTACCTCTAATGAGGCGAGATTGACAGGTCAACAGCTCAGACACAGGAAATAGGGTGAACTCGAAGGTCACAAAAACCCAAAATACTTACTGGTAGTAGAACTTGTCATATTGTACAAATCTGGAAAATGTAAGGATCATAAAAGTTCAATAAAATGAGATGACCTGCCAAAGTTCTTGCCTTATACAAATGACCTAAACTCTACACCATAGCACAGGAAGTCGGGACCTTGTCATCTTCAGATCTCACACACAACTTTTGTTCCCTGCCCAGATTCCATCAGGACTTCCTCGGAACCTGGAGGCAGCGGTGCAGAGATACGGGTCAGCCAGCTACAAGGCCACGGTCATCACTGCATTGGACGCTACAGGGAAACACTCCATCACTCTAACTTATGGTAAACATGCTCAAAATCACTCGCCTAAATAAAATGAAGGTCACAGAAAAAGATTTATTAAAAACCCCAAGCTACATGTATGAAGGTGTATACATGTAAAAAACTGAAGGCATCTTTGATACAGAAATAAACAGCCGTCAACATACAGATATACAAGTCATGTACCAGTATTATTTACTTGTCAAGTATGAAAGGTATTGACAATCACTTTCATACAGTGTGTGCATGTTTGTGTTCTGATTGTATGTTTTTCTTTGCCAGGAAAACTGCTGAGTAGAATGCAGAAGATCGCGTTCTCCCTCCTGAACAAGGTTGGACAGAAGGAACCAGCTATCAGACCTGGGGATAGGGTAAGTCTTAGAGACAGCCAATGACACAAAGTAGCATGTGAAATACACTATTGCAGGAATATTACATTACAAGATTTAGGCATGTTTAAAATTAGACAGAAGACTAGCGTAAGTCTTGTAATATTTGCAGTATTTTCAAGCTTTCAACCATGAAATGAATGCATGTCCATTGTGTCCCACTAGGTGGCGCTAGTGTACCCCAACAGTGACCCCATCTCCTTCATGTGTGCGTTCTACGGCTGTCTGTATGCTGGGGTGGTGCCTGTTCCTATTGAGGTGCCGCTGACAAGAAAAGTAAGTAAATCCTAACTCTTATTCACCTTTGATGTACTTGATAATCTTCAAACTAGATTAATGTTATTGTTTCTATTTGAAAATTCAAATGTCAAACTCTTTCTTTCCAGGATGCTGGCAGCCAACAGATAGGGTTCCTGTTGGGAAGCTGTGGGGTGTCCGTCGCGCTCACTTCTGAGGCCTGTCTGAAAGGCCTGCCCAAAGGACCCTCCGGGGAAGTTGCACAGTTCAAGGGTGAGTATTAAGACCCCCAGGTTTAACTAGCCTGTGTGTTCTCTTTGTCAGATAACCTTTAGTTAAAGGTAGTTAAAGGTAGTCCCATGGCATTGTTGAGGCCACAGGGGCAGTGTGTTGTTGTACAGTACTACCACCAGCTTTACCTCCCAAACCAAAGTCATTTGCACCTGGGTGCAGTGAGGAAAGTTATGTAAAGCATCTTTCCCAATGACGCAATGTCTACAAAATATAGGTAGGAATGCCAGGGATTGAACCCATGACCTCTCAATCTTGACTCTGCTAGCCACTCGCGCCATTTAATGCCACAATACTGATATGCCTATACCTTGTAAACTGTACATTGATAGCTGATTAAGTGTTGTTTCTTCCCCCAGGCTGGCCCAGACTGACGTGGTTTGTGACAGAACACCTGTCCAAACCAGCCAAGGACTGGATGCCTCCTCCCAGACTGTCAGATGAACAGACAGCATACATCGAGGTAGGGACGGGCCAGCTTAACCCGTTATATACTGTCAACTATACACTGTAAAATGGTTGTGTGTTTGAACATGCAATCTGTAGCCTGTGTTACACAATTTCTTGCTGTCCACAAGCTGTAGTTTCAGTCTTTGTAACACAAAACTGAATTTTCTATCTACCCCCAGTACACGACAGCGAAGGACGGTAGCGTGATGGGAGTGACGGTGAACCGCGGCGCCATGTTGTGCCACTGTCGGACCCTGACCGCCGCCTGTAACTACACGGAGGGAGAGATCATCGTCAACGTGCTGGACTTCAAACGGGATGTCGGGCTCTGGCACAGCATTCTCACTGTAAGTCTTCAAATACTGTAGATACTGTGACAGTCCTGTATTGGGAAACATAAACTTGAGTATCATACTGACCAAGAGCAATGCTTGTATTATACATGCCTGAAGTCAAATGTGAATACTTTTTGGTGGTCCCTTAGATAATTTTTCCCATTGACACAAGCAGTAAGAGTCTGTAGTGACTATCTGTCTACATAGACCAGATTTTATCGGTCCCCCGAGTGGTTTTCTAGAGCAGTTTTGATTGTATGGAATTTACATTAAGTATGATGTAATTCTAATACAGTTGGATATGTGCAGTGTCCCCCTGTATGAACAGTTTACCTGTTTTCTTGCAGAGTGTGTTCAACGGCATGCATGTGGTGTTTGTACCGTACTCACTCATGAAGGTCAACCCTACATCATGGCTGCACATGGTTACAAGGTTCAAAGGTGAGAGGTCAAGTTTAACTTTGATACAAGCCTAAGCTCAGTTGTAATTTTATTGCAGAGGCAATATTCTAGTAGATATCTATTAAAAGCTTTTAGTTGTGTGAAATTGGGATTTCAGAAAAAAAATGTGAACCAGGCAAAAAAATGCTGCTTCCTCTTTCTTCAAAGGCCTGGGTTTTGTTTGATCATATCCTTTCCTTTGTTTGTACAGCGACATGTGCGACTGTGAAGTCTCGGGACATGCACTGGGCACTGGTGGCACAGAAGGACCAGAAGGACATCAACCTCTCTTCTCTCAGGATGTTACTGGTGGCTGATGGGGCCAACCCATGTAAGCACTGGCTATCAAACTCTTCATAGCATACCAGTAGTCTAGGAATTAGTAATTCTGGACCATGTGGTCAGGGGTTTGAATCCCATCCTAGCTGTTGGTGATTGGAACCACAATTTGCATACCTCTTGCAGTGGTCACTATCCTTCAGACTCAGAGGGAATGTTACACTGTTGTCAGTATGTTTATGGAGACCCAAACTTTAGACATTGACAAAATAATTCAAAATAACAAATAACAAACTGTAGAATAAAGAAAAAGCCATTAAAAAATTCCCATTTTTCTATTACTGTAGTTAACCTTGTTTAAAGTTAAAACTATCGATCCAACGCAAAACGTTCTCTCGCCTAGAGCTTTCGACCAGTCACTCTGGTCTTCCTCAGTAGACTGACCCAGTGGGGCTTGTCACATGGCTTCTCTGACCTACATGTATTTCTTCTTGTCTCTGCCCCCCCTCCCCTCCCCACAGGGTCCCTGTCCTCCTGCGATGCGTTCCTGAATGTGTTCCAGAACAAAGGACTGAAGCCTGAAGCCATCTGTCCTACAGCCAGCTCAGCTGAGGCTCTCACTGTGGCTGTCAGAAGGTACAAAACTCTGGCTGAATACTGTCATATTTAGAGGTGAAATGGAACCCTGCATGTATAAGAGAAGATGTTGATTTAAAAGATATGTAAAATCTTTCACTAGCCATGCATATAACATACAGGACTTTTCTTTTACACAACCAAGATTTCTCACCTAAGTGCTGATGTTTCAGTGTTGTGTAAAAGAAAACTCCTGTATCCTATACTTAACCCACCTGATGAAACTATTTTTGCAAGCACATAACAGGTTTTTACTACCAACAAGCCATCTGTAGTAATCTAAATGTTGTCAAAACTTTTTTCATACTTATGAGTACTACACATACAGATACAATACATTGTACTATGTACACTGTGGTCATGTTCTTCTTGCTACAACATTGGGGAAGCAAACATTTAGTTGGCAAAATCAGATGGACAAACATTTTTCCTGTTTTTAATTTCAGACCAGGGAGGACAGGTGGTCAGGGGACTGGACGGGGAGTACTGTCCATGTCTGGCCTGAGCTACGGAGTGGTGCGAGTGGACACTGAGGACAAACTGACCTCACTCATACTCCAGGACGTGGGCACTGTCATGCCTGGAGGTGGGCTGGGTTTCACATTATACATGCTTTGTCAAATGGAGATGACATTTACTAGTCTTGTAGATCAACTGCACTGTATTGCATTGTAAACCATAAGTAACACTATGTATTTGTCACATTTACTTTCCAGCTGTTGCAGTAATAGTGAAGGTGGACAATGCGCCCAGCCTGTGTAAAACAGACGAGGTCGGTGAGATCTGTGTGGCCTCAGGAGCCATCGGGGCTGGCTACTTTGGTCTGCAGGGGCTCAGTAACAACACGTTCAAGGTATGGCCAGGTGGTGGTGTTTTATGAGAAGTAAAGAAAAAAATGTATATTTTGTATTGCGTTGACATTATTCTTTAGGCTGCAAAAAGCACTGTAAATTACAATTTTGGATGGTTATCTTAACACATGTTGCAGTGTTGTTGAATTCTTTTTTCTGTCCCTAGATCCAGCCCCTAGCCAGTGATGGAAAGCCCATGGCAGAACAGACGTTTGTCAGAACTGGGCTGCTGGGATTCCTGGGGCCTGTAAGTATAAGTGTTGCAAAAATAGTGAATAATACAATGTGTGATGTATTATGAATGTATGAGAATCAATGTGATATATATGTATGTAAAGGTAGGAAAAGTATGTTGTCCTACATTGAACATCCTTATAGGCAGGCATGATCTTTGTTGGGGAAGGTATAAATCATGTTGTCTCAAACGTGATGTTCTACATCCTTACAGGGAGGGATGATCTTCGTAGTGGGTAAAGTGGACGGTCTGATGAACATCAGCGGCAGGAGACACAACACTGATGATATCATCGCCACCGTCCTGGCAGTCGAGCCAATGAAGTTCATCTACAGAGGCAGGATCGCAGTTTTCTCCATCAAAGTGCTGAGAGACGAGAGAATAGTCATCATCGCTGAGCAGAGACCAGATTCTTCAGAAGAGGATGTAAGTCTTGTCTTCTGTTTATCACAATTTTGTATGTCCCAGTTCTCCTAGAAATGTCATTGCTATGATAGTGCCATATTTCGTGTATGGTATTTACTAATAGATGATTAAAAGCAGTTATACATCTCACTTTCCATTTGGATGCCTTGAAAGATGTTTTAACAGTTAATTTAGATTCGGATGCCTTCATTGAATATGTGGAGAGAAAAAACTGTACATCCAGCACCCAACAATGTTCAACTTGTTATTTTCTATTCTACAGAGTTTTTAGCGGATGAGTCATTTGCTGCTTTGTGTTTAGATGCCTCGTTTGGATCTAAGAGTTTACAGTCGGATTCCTTCAAAGAATGTATGCTACAGTAAAAAACGTTGTATTAGAGCACCCAGTAATGTTTTGTTTGTTGTTTTTACTCCAGAGTTTCCAGTGGATGAGTCGTGTACTGCAGGCTATAGACAGTATCCACCAGGTGGGCGTGTACTGCCTCCTGCTGGTGCCTGCCAACTCACTACCAAAGGTAAGCAGCTCCGCCTAGCATCGGGTCAGGGAACTGCAGCACTGCTGTCAGAGACAGTCATCACTTTTTGTCGCATTTCAAGTTTTTAGACCCGATTTGCTTTCTTCATTTTGTCTTGATCACTGGTAAACAACTGCTGGTACATGTTACACAGCTTTGACTATTGCAGGTGCACCACCCAGCATTCATCGACAGTATTGCACCACTTGTATTCTACATTTACATCATATTGCCCATGTTTGCAGACCCCGTTGGGTGGTATCCACCTGTGGGAGACCAAGCAGAGGTTTATGGAGGGCAGTCTGCACCCCTGTAATGTACTGATGTGTCCACATACGTAAGTATTGGTTCATCCAGTGCTTTAGGTTCAAAATAAAAGATGTAAAGTGCTCTTCTAGGTGATTAAAAATTAAAAAAATAATACTGTCTTGTAGAAGTATTTCCTTAGGATGTACTCCTTCACAGCATGTGTCATTGTTTTTTTGCCTAAATTCTTTTTTTTTTCATTCCAACAGGTGTGTTACAAATCTTCCAAAGCCAAGACAGAAACATCCAGGTATTTTGCTTATGTGTTTGCTTGTTCATTGGAGGTTGTATATGATGCACAAAACCTGTATTTGTCTGTACATGTATGTGTCCTTTAGATAATGTAAAGACATACTGTTTAAAAATACATGATGTAACTACAGGTATGGTTTACCTTGCAATTCCTTAAAGTAGCATGTGTGGATTGTTTGTAGTCCATTTTTTCAAACTACAATGAGCTACATTACAAAATTCCAATTTCTATGTTATTTTACACAATCATGTATTACATGAAATCTTGTACCCTATAACATTTCCCCTTAGGCCTTACCCACTATCCCAGAACATTCCCACACAGCTATTTACTGTAGGCCATCCAGTTTCTTCAGGAGCACTTGACCAGTATTGTTTATAAGGGAAGATCATGCCAGCGAGTTTTTCTGTACATGTAGACAGTTTAATGGTGTTTTCTGTGTGTGTTTTCTGCCAACAAACTTCCCTCCAGAAGTTGGTCCATCGTCCGTCATGGTGGGCAACTTGGTGCAGGGCCGGCGCATCGCGGGCGCGCAGGGCAGGGACATCGGAACTCTGGACGGGGACGATGAGCAGTATAGAAAGGTTGGTACAGCTGCAGTGCAGTAGCGCCCTCTTTCTGGATCCCTCATAACTGCAGGATTTCTTCAACACTCAAAACGTGTGGCACATGTTTTTCCAACTTCCAATATAATCACAATAAATTTTGTTTTGGAGTGGAATTTTAATGTTAGATGCCAAGTTTAAAATTCACAAGTCTTGTTCTTCCCGAAGCTTTAGTATGTTCATTTTGTACTCCAGTGTTAACTTATTATGGTGTCCTCACATTTTACATTTCACTGATAGACAGACATGATCATCCAGCAATTACTTGATAAAAAAACTGCCCCCCTCCCACTACCTTTAATAGCTGGTTTCCTTTCGGAAGCCACCTTTTGACTGTTATATACATTTCTTTCATACATTTTCTCCAAGACCAGCACTTGGTTTGCATTTACCAGTGGCTTGTTTAAATACAAAATGTACCTTAGGCCACACCAATTTAATTTCTTGGTTAACGGATTCGCCGCTTCATTTTTTTCTGATTTGCAAATAAAAATAAAAATCCAGAATCAACTGCAAAATGCTCATATTTTGCCCTGAACAGTTGAAAACAGACCTTTTCATCCTAGTTGTTACAGTTATTCCATCTTTCAACGCAATGGTATCATTAAAAGTTCAAAATTCATTGTTTAAATTTTGAACCAGCCTGGTGTGTTGACTTATTGGCTCCTATTGTACCATTTGGGGCCATAATAGGATGTCTAGGCCTGTTTTTATTTTTATTTTTTTTCGCCCGCCCGCTCCATTATTTTTGTAGAAAAATCCGTTAACCAAGAAATTAAATTGGTGTGGCCTTAGTAACCACATTGTGTGCTGACTGTATGCTTGCTTGTTACTTTGAACTGCACTGCCTTACATTTTACCAGTTATTTTGTTCACACTTAATGTTAATTACATGACGTACATTCCC